AACGTAAAGTTTAACTTACCCAACCTTACCTACTTACTTAAACGTAAACTAGTAGTATTTAGTTTAGTACGAACTAGCACACTACTACTATGTAGTAGTGTACTACTCTCTCTCTCTCGCTCTCTCTCTCTCTCCTCCTCTCTCTCTCTCTCTCTCTGTCTGTCTCTCTCTCTCCCCCACCCTTCTTCCTCCACACATGCACAGATGCACACAATTCTAGTTTACTTCCCAAAGAGAAAAATATATACTATACTCGTTTCAGTTTCCAAACTTATTATGGACTCCACATAATACCATTGTGGAATTTCATTTACTGTCTGACATAATCATGTGATTTTGTTTACTATTCTTTGTTTTTTGGTTGCTAAACACATCACAGTTCAATGAATCGATGAGTGTATTGTTTTTGGTTTGGCACTTCCAGGTGTTGTGTTTAACGAAATGAAAGGTGTATATTCACAACCTGATAATATAATGGGTCGCATCTCTCAACAGGCAATTCTCTCTCCCTTGATACTTGGAGACATACTCATTTCTCTCAGATATATAAGAAATGATTTTTATTATTTAAAATGCTGTTAGTGATTCTGGTTGTGATTGACTTTGTAATACACATTCCTATTTGATGTTTATGCAGTTGAGATCTAAGTTGAATGAGAAACTATTTTACTTTCACACTTCTGTGCCTAGACGGAGTTGTTTGGAAATATTAACATACTATTATGTACTTTGGGAATTAATTTGAGCAATTTTTTTTAAGTTGAAAGCATTCTTCTTTATTGTGCTTTCCTTATGTGTTTACGGGTTTCAAAGGTTTTTATGAATCTCAATTGATATGCAGTTTTGTCACTGATTCACTGGCGACTTCTTATATGCCTTTCTATAAGCCAACCACAACTGTTAGGTCCCGGCTTCAATTTGGTTTAGATAATCATCCTGATTTTGTTTTTGGAAATTTTAGAGTTTTCATTTAGCACATTGCTTGGCACATTACTCCAAGGACCTCTTATTTTATTAACAGGGTATTTGGTTACATATTTTACAGTTGTAGTCAGAAATGATGGTATCTTTTAACTGATAAGATAAGAGAAAAAATGGGCAGGTATTTTGATGGTTACTTACTGAGTACAAATATATTGATATTTTGCAGGTCATGTTTCCAGACAATACCTATGGTGTTGATAGTGGAGGAGACCCGAAAGTTATCCCCAAGCTTACTTTTGAAGAATTCAAGGTTGGATAACTTTTATACAAGATTTGTGATAATTCTTTGTGAACCATATTATCAATTTTATAAATATCCATTTGGAGTGTTTTTTTTTCCTTCAATAATTAACTATCTTCAATAGGTTCTAATAGGGGTTACTTGAATCTTTTGATGGTATGTGAATCACCAAACACAATTCATGATTGGTTGAAAAGTGGAGTAGAGCACAAACATAGAAGGAAATGCAATGCAAGACCATAGTTGCTGGGATCTCCCAGCCTAGGTGGCCATTGTTAAAGAATTTTGCTTTGGCGCTCCGAGAAAGGAACCTTCTAGGAATCTCGATGTTTAAATTATGGGATCTTGATCCCACTGTTATGGATCTCGATCCCCACCTTAAAGACCAAGATTAGCAAGTGACTATCTTTTTAATATGGTTGCTTTGCTTGCTGGATATGCATAAAGAGAATCCTACTATGAAGACTATATATAGTCCTAGATCATATATACTCTTTAAGTTTGGGAACAATATCCCCAAAAGATTGGGATTGCGATCCCTAAGGATCAAGATTGAGAGCACCAATGGTTGGAATCGAGATCCCTAATATTTTGAGGATCTCGATTCCTAAAATATGCATTGTACAGATGGTGCTTCCAACAATAGGGATCTTCTAGTCTGTCACGATTCGTCTCTCCTGATACTAATCCCGCGCACTCCCGATCCCAACAACTATGTGCAAAACACTAAGCCAAAAAAGTGAAGAGCACCTCAATTTGGTTCAATATCATTGAAAAGATTCAATGGCTTGGAAGAGAGGCTTCACAAGCTTACATTAACAAGAGGAAGAAAGTTCTGAACTTGTTGTTCCTGGACTCATGTCCCACCTATATCTTGGTCAAAGTCAACTTTCTCTCTCTTCATTAATAATCCAAAATCCTTCATCATTTAAGAAAGTAAATAAAAGGAACGACTACTTTCGGAATGTTGACTTTCTAAATTTTCCCCATATACAGCCCAGTTCCATTAACCTTCATAAGTCAAATAGCTAATCAAAAAAAACCTTCATAAGTCAAATAAACTCCTCTCCAGAATTAGAAGAGAAATTGGGTCGTTACTCACTTCATGACTACCATAATTTCATCCTATCTTATTATATACTTATTATTTTTATATATTTATTCATTCATTTAACCCATCAATTCTCTATAGGTGAAAAAGAACTTCACTCCAGCGAGTGGCCTTCTTCCTCAAGTTCTTCTCCATATACTTGTTTAAGGTCTGCCACATTGAAAATAAACGAAATGCCCATATTCTCTACATTCCTACAAGATAGGTGTATCCCCTAGTCTTTTGACTATAGGGCCCAACTTTCCTAAGTCGAAGCTTGTTGTAGGTTCTTGCTGCGAATCTTTTTTTACTAAGGATATAGCATGATGTGTTCTCCCTTGTTGAATTTTACCTCATACTATTGTTCTCCCTTGTGTTCTCCATGAACTGTGCATGCACCTCTTGCATGTGTTCGGCGAAGTCTCCAGCATCATGCCTGTTTTTCATGCAAAGGTAATGGTATGAGATCCGCTACACAAGTTAGTTTCTGTGCTCTAGTTTATGATCTCAAGTAGCAACTTCTGATGGTTCACATGACGGACTTGTTAGTGAACTAATGCAGATGAAAAATCACATCAAGAAATTAAATTGAAATTTGATTGAAAATAATCGGCGGAAGATTACAATTCAAGATCTTTGGTTCAACCAGAACTCCAAAGACACACAGTATTCTAGTTCAATTCTACCTCTAAATCCTCTACATGGACCCCTATTTATCAAAAGATCTTTACTTAGAACCCAAGAAATCCTAATCCTAGTCGACCTAATTAAAACAAATTCGTGATGACACTTTACCCCCTTATAAAATAAAAATTACATAAGGACATTAATTAATTTTTAAAACAAACCTTGAAATCTTAAAAAAAAGAAGAAGAAAACCCCTAAAATCCATTAAAGTTTTTAAAAACCACAAAAATAAACCTTAAAAATCCAAAAAATACATCCCTAATATTTCATAGAAAATATTCAAGGAGGCATCTTTTCTTGCAAACTCTTCTAGTTGTTGAAGACTTGTCCTTGAATTTTGAAGTATCTAAGATCTATCCACCGTCGGATCCATGTTCCTCTTCAAGCCACGCAGTTGTGCACATGATCTTGGGACCACGGGTTATTGGGCCTATCAAAACATAGCGATTGTGCATTGAAACTGGGTCTCGTGAGAACACCTCGAGGAAAGGGTCATTGTGTATCAATGGAGTAGTTGTGATATAGACTCTCGGTTCAACCACATAAACTTGCTGGATTTGCTTTCCTTCAGCCACATGAACCCCCCTAAATTGCCTCATTGCAACCACATAACCCTATTGGAATTGCCTTGGTTCATCCCTAAAACAAACCAAGGAATAATCTTCAATATGAGCACTATTTCAATGGCTGAACGAATAACTTTACAGATCGATTCTCCTTGGAGTTCTTCATCTTATGGAAGATTGATTCTCTCACAAAATCTCATTCTTCTTTTTATTCTTCACCAGCAAAATCCCACAAAATCCCGTTCTTCATTCTTCACCGGCACCATCCACCACAACCTGTTCACCACCGTTTCCTGTACTGCTCACGAAATTGAATCCACATCAGAGCACATATCAAAAGATTGGTAGGTACCCAATCTACAAGCTGTTGATTTGGAGACAATTTGATGAGAATAAAGTTTCTATAGGATTGGCCTCTTCATGTGCTTGACCTGGTTGGTCCTTGCACACTGCAAGATTACATCTTCCATTGTTGTGAAGTCCCTTAAAATCTGTTAAAAACCAGACTCACCGGTATGATTGAATTCAGATTCATTATTTTCATGAAAGATCGAACATTGATTAGAGTGGGTTTGGTGCACCTCATGCAATCCTCGAACCTTCTTCAAGTTGATCTTGTTTTTTACATACCTCATATGAAGATTCCTAATTCTCCTTCAAATCATTAAATTCCTCCCATGTAACTTTGTCGTCATCATGACCTCAATCTTGACCTCCTATAGCAGCCATCGTGCAAACTTGTAGTTGATCCTCAGATGCTTGGGCAGAGGGCTGCTCTAATACCAATGATGGAAATTTGAATAACAAAAAAGATGTCAAAGAAATAATGGATTGATTATAAACTATTGGAAGCTTACAAACCTAGCTTCTATGGCTTTACGAATTCAATAGAATTCAAATTTCAATAGAATTCAAAAACAATGTTTTGAAACAACAATAATCAACTTTGAAATGAAAAACTCTTTAACTTTATTTGGACCCCTATAGTCCTAATTCTAATGTGATTAGAACTGTTAACTAAAATTGACTTTTGCAATTGGTGAATATAGGTCCAAAATGTGCGTCGTCTTCATGAAACTCTTTTACCGCCTCGAACCCAATGACATCAATGACCGTTGTAAATGATGCACACTGGCTGAGGGCATCTGCCACTTGGTTTTTGGAGCACAAATGTGAACTCATCTAAATGGGACACTCGTTTTGCATGCATGCTGTTCAATTTCCATGTGCTCTAAGAAATTTGAGAATAAATAGAATACAAAGTTTCGTTGGATTAAGTAGTTTCACTAAAACCTTAGCTCTTGAACGACTGCATAAAACTCAAAATTGTGGGTTGAGTGTTGTGCGCTTGCCTCGCTTAACTTCTCTCTGTTAAAAGCTTTGGTCTGCCCTCGTGTTTGATGGCAGCGCCTATCCCCACGAGGCATCGCCATTGACGTCAGCATCTTGGATGATTTGGTACTGCCAATAATAGGTTCTCATCATCTTTTCCTTCATTAATTGGAAGTTGTGCTTAGCTTCAACCATTTGAAAGTCCACATATTCATACAACTAGTAATTGATGGGTCAAATAAATAGATAATAGACAACACAAAAATGATACTTATATTAATAAGGTAGGGATGAAGTTATGGTAGTCCTAAGGTAGTTATCACTCATGCTTTCTTCTATTTATAAGGAGTTTGTGTCTGACCCTGTGGAGGTTAATGAGATGGTTAATTGGCTGATTACGGGGAAAATTTAGAAGTCAGTAGTCTAAGCAGTAGCTGTTGTTTCTTTCTATTTTACTTCTTAAAGTATTGAAGGGCTTTTGGGTAATTGAAGACAGAGAAAGTTGACTTTAATCCTACATATGGTTGGGACATGAGTCCAAGACGAACAAGTTTGAAACTTTCTTCTTCTTCTTAATCTAGTCTTGTGAAGCCTTTGTTTGAAGCCATTGAACGTTTTCTTTGATAGTGAATAAAGAGGAGGTACTCTTTTATTTTTTTGATTATTGTCTTGTATTGCTTTTTGGTGTGCACTCTCCGCATCAAAGTGGTATCAGAACAGGTATTTGAGTTCCAGGTTGGGATTTGAAGGTCCCACGGCTGCTAGAAGGGTTCAACGTTATGTTGGAAATGCTGGTTGGCAGGAAGGTATATGACACAAACCATACGTTGGATCAATTCATGCGGCTTATACTTTGTAGAGCTGCAATCCCAAGACTGGGTATGGTAAAAGGGCAATGAAGATGATGGTGGTGCCCATCTGCAGCCTGATGTGGGAGAGATTGGGGACAGTCAGAATTGAATCCCATTGCAGATGATTCTGGATGTGATGGAAGGGACAGCGAGTTCGAAGACTGGCTAGTTCATGCATTAGAGCAGAGAAGTGCTTGAGTGGAAGTCAATTTTGAGAGTTTAATGGAGATCCATACTCCAAAGCCTTTATTTATTGGGTCTACTCTGTTGAGATTTATTTTATTTTTTGACTGGAAGGATAGCTTTACAAAGGTGCAAAAAGTCAAGTTAGCGGGGACAATACTAATAGGTCATGCTTCATTGTGGTGGAAGCAGTAGCAACTGAATCGACTATGAAATGGGAAGCAAAAGGTGGCTTCTTTGGAGAAAGAGAAAGCAAAGCTGAAATGGAACATCTTCCCAATGGATACGCTCAGGATATCCTCCAACTACGTCAAAACCAACATAGCATTGTGTACAGTACACAAGGATTTCTTAAGCTGTTGATTCACAGTGGTGTAGGAAGATAAGACAATGGGCAGTGATTACCTATTCATGATGAATTGAAATTGCATGATGAGTATCAGTTGAATAATGCACATCACTACTGACTTTGAAGGTCAACATAACTTAAATGGAAACCATTGCAACAGTATGCAGCCCAAAGAGGCCCAGCAAACTCTAGTGGTAAAACAAGTGCTTTTGGCCTCACAATAGAAGAGAACGCGGGTCACAACTCTGATCATGACCGCTATAACTTCATTCCTACCTAAGAACAGAATTATTTGACTCATCACAAAGTGGTTTCCTTTATGGCTTTTCATCCTCAAGCACCACATTTCTTATTTTATTATTGGTAAATTAAACATATGGTGGAAGTCTCTTCAACAGCATTACTCATGCTCGTGACTTGCAATACACCAAGTACAATATGTTTACAGCTTGTTAAAATATGTAAATTTTTTGGCACTTGCACCTAATAGGGGTGGAGGTTTCTAAACTAGATAAAAGCGACATTTATCAGGTCCCTTTTCCACATGTTAACTCCTCGATCCATCTACAATTATGAGGGATTATTTATATTGTTTATGGGGTTCAAAGCATTGGTAGTTAGATTCATCTTGGTGATTGCTTTGGTTTTAGAGATTTGCCCGCAATGACAGTTAACCTACTTCTGTAGAAATCTATCTAGTTTGCCTACAAGTCTTACTTTTCTTACAATTTTTGGGTTGTGTTATTTTGTATGGGCTTCCTTTAAAATTGGTTGAGGATACTAAAGACTAAATATTCGAATTGCCGTGGAGAGACTACCTTGTTTCTATTCGTGCTAATGTAGGAGCATGTTTTCCGTTATATATGTGACTTCTGAGTTGCTTTTAAAAAGCCAATGTTGTTGTCTTGGCAATGCAGGCAATGCCATTTTTTTTATTTGAAAGCTGGGTTTCCCATGCTTAACTGGCTCAGAATTTTGTTTACGGCAGGAGTTTCATCGGAAGTATTATCATCCCAGCAATTCAAAAATATGGTTCTATGGAGATGACGACCCAAATGAGCGCCTACGTACAATAAGTGGTATCCTTCTGTAATCTATGGTTATATTTTGGAGGTCTTGCTTTCATTTGTTTTTTAACTTAGTAGGGTTTAAGTTCGGACACCTGTTTGCATTTGTATACTGCATTTAAGTCTAGAAAATTTTTATTTTATTTGAAATTAAGGGCTAGCTTGGATGTGCCCAAATCTGGTAATTTTTTTAGATCACAAGCAAATTAAAGTTTCTGAAGGACTACGACACATTTGGATGCCACAAATGTTTTGGATACAAATCAAGAAAACTATCAAATGTGCCCCCAAAATCCATGTTTGAAAAAACTCGAAGTTGAATTGTTTTGCCTTATTGGGCCCCTCTCTCACAAACTCCCCTTCTCAACAGGGGGAGGAGGGGGGCGGGGCACCCCCAAAAAAAAATAAAAATTAATGCAACTCTCTAATCCTCTCTCTCTCTCTAGTCACAATCCTTACATCACAGCAATCAATCCCTTCCTCTCTCCAGGGTTAGGATTAGGGTTTCTCTCTCTCTTCATGGCTGCAGAAGATGTTGCTGGATGGATAGTCAGGGGAATTGAGCAATCTCTCTCAGGATTTATTGAGTGTTTGCCTAACTCTAATTGCTCAAGTTCATCGTCCGAGCCTATTTGATCTCCACTGTCTCTGTGTTCAAGGCCTCTCTTGCTGATGTACCAGCAGAGCAACAGCAGCTCATCTGCAAGGATTAAATCCTCATAGATGATCAAATCCTAAATAGCTATCAGTTGCAGTTACACCACATTGTCCATCTAGTTTGTGGTGCAGCACCAGATTCAATTATTAATATTACACCTTCTTGCAGGGCCCCAAATGACAAATCAGGCTCCTTTAAAAGGCCTGGCATTAGAGCTTTAGGAGGTGCTCTAATGTGTAACTTGATTATAAGCTCTCTCTCTCTCTCTCTCTCTTTCTCTCTCTCTCGCTCGGCTCATAGAAGCCAAGGGTTTTTGCTACAGAGAACCGTATGGTTATGGATTCCATGAAGTAGAGGGTTTAATGCTTCTGGTCATTGATGGAGTTTGTGTAGTGAGTTTTGCAAGGTGTTTGGAGCAAGAAGAGAGAAATGATAGACGAGGGCAATGCTTCTGGTTGTTGATGAATTTTGTGTACTGTGATTTGCTAGAAGGTTGAAGGGAGAGAGAGAAAAAATGAAATTATGGAACAGTGGTTTGAGGGTTTGTGTCTCCTAGAGGAAGGAGATCTCTCTTGTTGTCTCTCTCTTCATGCTACCAAACAATCTATGGACAATAAATAAAATGGCAAGATTTTTATATTCAACAACTTGTAATGTTTTTTGATGCAAAACATTTCTAAATGATGCATCCAAACTGGCCCAAATTTTTTTACAATTTGTTCAATTCTCTTCCTTTTGGTTCGGTCTTAGTAAATAAGTTGCATTTTATATATGTTTATTACATTAGAGCATTGTGATTTTCTAATTAGTTCCATTTCTAGATTGTCAATTACAGATACGATTTGGGCAATCTTGGCTGGTTATCCTAGGAAACAAGCTCCAAGTCATATGCAATGAGATGAATGAAGGTGTCTGAATTGTTTTGGAATTGGATTTTGCTAGCAAATTAAATGGGTTCCCTTTTATCAAGGAGATGCTTTTTATGTTTATAGTAAACTTGTTGCTGCATTCCAATTCCTAAAACCGGTGCTCCTTTGGTGATTATTAGTGGAAATTCATCTCCCTTCACTACCCCAATTCCACTCTAGAGGTTTGGCATTTGCAATATTCCTTTAATAGTATTTGAAACTCTTAGGATCTCTTGTTCTCATGCCAATTATTGTCTGTTTTAACTCCACAAATATTTGAATCAAGCTATTTTTTTTACAAGTCAACAGTCCCCTCCGAAATTTATAATAATTCTGACAAATATTGGATTCATTGGTGAAATCCTAAGCGCAGGTGAAACACAATTAAACGATGAAATGGAGGTCGCATAACTCTTGTATCTGATTGCCATCTTGCGGTTGGTGTCAATCCTTCCGTTCCTTTCCAGCATGGTTCCTTTGGGTCGAGAGTTCGATTCTTGGCACCTCAGGCGAACTTCTGAATGCTAGAATTGTAAGTATGATATAACAGCTCAAATCCCTGATAGGAATGAGCTCAAGGCTAAGTGGTCAAGTTGGTGGGTCGCCATAACATGATGTCTTGAGTTTCATTCCTACTATGGGTAAAGGACCCCACCTCCCACCGAACTTTTCCCCCCCAAAAAAACAGAACAAAACAAAAAGGAGAAAAAAAAACAACTTGAAATCCCTGATCCCTTTGATGAAGATGACCTTGGAGTTCTCACAAAGGCTTGTAGGGAATAATACTTGGTTTTTTAGAGAGGTAAACTGAGATTGGGAAAGAGAGAAAGCATAAGTGGGAAGAAGGGAGGCTAGGGGCACATAATGCTCTTATCAAGCCCCTTTTAGATGGGCATCTTCTAAGATTCCCTTTCTCAGAAGGACACCTATCTAATCTATATGTCTATCCAAATTCTTTGACTTAGATATTATCTCTCCTAAGATATATATAAAATACCCATCCTAATCTTATTAGGATTTGCATCTCATCTTAATACCATAGACAAAGTCCCTTACCCCATGGAAGTCCTTCCACTCATAAAGGAGGTCCTTTCAGAAAACCAACATCTCCCACTTGTCTTGTAATCAGTCGAAATGTCGATTTGTGAGAAACTCTCCCATATGCTACTTGGGGAAATGAATCGTGAGACTTTAACGGGCAACATCATCTCTGTAAAGAGAACAACTTTAGGTTTTCCATCAATCCTAACGTGGAACATCTCCTTTCTCTAAACAACATTGCTTAAGCTTGCTTTAGATTCTCTTGGCCGCACCGGATTGAGTATCTTGACTAAGCTTCTGTGAATTTTCTATGCTCAAAGGATACTCAATGCCTTTGTGTACTCCCACTCAACTCATTTAATGAATATTGTTCTCATGCAAGCTGAGAAATTCATTTGCAAAGATATTATATTATGTTATAATAGTTTTTCAAAACATTTTGTTGAAAAACATCCTGGATAAGAAGATTTAACATACATGACCATGGGAAGGCATGCTAAAGTAGCAACATCAAGTTTGCCCTTCCTACTATTGTCATATGGTCTGGAGGGCACTTTGGGCCATTAACTCACAGACTTATTCTAGCATAGTGTAATAGGAACAATGATCGTCTGATACACCTCTACTGTGCCATTAGGTGACTGACTTATTCTCGCACAATGTAATGGGGAACAATGCTCATTTGATATACCTCTATCTCTATAGCAATGGTGATCTCACTCAGCATATGTGGTATGAGTCACGCCCCATGGTGTAAATTATAGGAGGTAGTAGGATCTATATTGGATTTACCCTATGCAGGTCTTAGTTGAGTCATGGCTATGTATTCATTGTAAACAATGTACTCCAACTTCCAACCAATGCACTTGACCTAAGCATTCCTATGTCGCAAGCTGCATGACCCTATGGGATGACATACACATGAATCATGTTGATTTCAGTTATGCAATCTCATCTCGATGTCACATCCGGGTGATACACACCCTGTGTGTGTCACATCCTCCAATATCCTCAACACTGAGAGTGGTCATGCTGTGCGAGCAGAAGATCTTTGCTTGCTGACAATTTATTTCACAATGAACACACATCCTAGTTGGCAAATGTGAATGTGCATCCAAACTACATGTGTGTTTATTGAGTAAATCGCAATACCATAGATCACTCATCTAAATGGTAAAAGCAAATGCAAAATCCATGTATAAATAGGAAGTCTGATAATAGTTTAGCTACAGAAAATAATCAGGGACATCTGATTCTCATTCCCTTGACACGAGCCTTATACACCTCTCTGGCTAGTGAGGGGATCTTCTATCATCCTGCTCATGGGGATGTGTTTCATGATTATCTCCTTGTTCTATCTGACATCTCATATATGGTGACACTTGATATCTATATGTTTTGCCTTACTGTGATACTTTGGGTCCTTTTCCAAAGCCAATGCTGCATCATATCACATAACACTCTTAGGTTCCTAAAACGACCCCTACGGTTAGATGGAACCTCCTTAGCCATATGTTCTCTTATGATTCTGAACAGCAAGCAATATGCTCAACTACATACTTGACAATGGCACACAAATTTGCTTCTTTCTCAACTAGGAAATAGGTCCTCCCACAGTGAAGACATATCTTAAGAATTTGCTCACTGTATTTTGTGTGTGATTATGTGACCCCAAATATATAAGTGGATAAAGCAAAACTTGTACAAAAACTGGCAAATAAATTTTGATTAAAGTTTTATAGAAGGCACTTTCACGAAGGCCTCCCAAGCTGGGTTGGGGGAACTCTCTTGGACCTCCCATCGTATATCATGCCATGGGAAGCCTTGATGCATTCTGGCGGTGGATTAAAGGTGTAGCGGGTAAGGGACAAAATATATTTCCTCAAGGCAGAATATGAGCCTCTCTCTCTCTCTCTGTCTCTCTCAAGAAATATGAGCCTTGAGAGGGAGTTGACCTAGCCTTTTCTTCCACAATGAGCCTTGGGAATGTGGGCTTTTCTCTCTACAAGTGTTTTTGGACTAATTTGGATTTTTCAACTGACTAACCTAAGGCAAGGATATGAGTTACGATTTCTCCCTCTAGGGTTAGAGACACTTGGGGGTGGGTTAGGGTTTTTCTCTCTCAAGGAGTTTCTCAATCCAGAAAGAATTCTCTCTTTAAGCCTCTCAAGCTTCCAAACTTCTAACCGAAGCAATGGCCAATGTGAAGGCCTTATATGGAGGTGGACTGAAACAAGGGTCGATAATCAATGTTCTTCATATTATATGGGTGGAATATCAATTTTTGGTCCTGTCAATTTCCAAAAGGGCAATTTTGTTGGGATATTTTGATGAAAATATCACTTATTACCCCTCGGAACATTGAGAATTCATATACCTGTCACTTCTGTCTTATTTTGTCGTATTTCCACTGGTATGTGGGCATTTTTGGCTCCATAGAGTCGCAGAGAATCGACCTAGGAGCATGTTGCATTGAATTTCACTCTAACTCACAAGTATTGGAGGTGTTATGAGTGTTTTTGTGGGTGTGGGTGTGGGTGTGGGTGTGGGTCCAATTTCAGCAACATAAAAAATGTAGCAACACATGGGGGCTTCAAAATCTCCTTTAATCTTCAAAGGAGCCATGACAACTCTTATATTGATGGAAAGAACAGCGAGTCGAGTTTGCATGCTAAATCTTATATATTTTCTCCACGATATAAGGTGGGAACCCTCAAGAATATATAT